GAGCCACGCAAGCACGGCCTCCGCACCCGAGACCTCGCTCATCATGACTCAGCTCCTTGTCCCCAGTGCCCGCTGCTGGGCAGGCTCCCCACCGGCCCTGCCACCTCCCCATTCTCCTTGGCCCCAAACACAACCACTTAACCTCCTCTCCCACTCCCTTCCTTCTCCAAGACTGGGGGCTGTGCCTAAGGGGTGCCTCCTGGAGATTGGGGGGCGAGGGGGTTACTGGAGAGCCAGTGGGAAACAGGGGAGGAGATGCTTTGAGACATCAGATGTCACTCTCTGACCCCATCGGCCGTCACCCACCCGAGACCCGCCGAGCCTCCTGCCCTCGTAGCCCAGCCAGGCCCTGCGAGACGTGTCTCCCCAAGTCCCACCTGGGAACTCACGGCCACACACACTCTCCTTGTCCGGGTTGTGGGCAATCATGGCCATCCTGGTGCTGGACGTTGCTTCCAGAAGGTGGACACACACTCCCCTCTGCCTGCCGAGCACAGCGGGACCCCGGACACTGCAGACAAAGAGACAGAGGCTGAGCAGTGGAGACAGAGGAACCACGTGGCAGCAAGTGCCCTGGACTTCATTTTGCCTCGTGTGTCTCAGACCAGGCACTGGAGAAACAGCAATCTAGAAAATTCCAAAAAGCTTAGGCCCTGAGCCCTGCACCAGGGTGGCGACCGGCTGCGTGAGGAGAGGAGCTGTCACATGGCTGGGCAGCCCTCTCGCTGTGGGGTCCTGGAGGCCCCTTGGGGAGCCTGGACGTCCACCCCTCCTGGTGGTGACAGAAGGTGCCTCTCTCCCGTCCCAGCGGGTGGTGTCTGAGGGGCCTGGGGACAGGCAGGACGGGCACCACCTCCCAGCAGTCACCGAAGGTCACATGGGAGCCTAAACCCCACCCCGACCAGCGGGAACCAGGGCCTGTCCCCTCCGGGTGCCAGCAGAGGCGGGGCTAGAACCTGGATTCCTACCACCCTCCCGCCCCCCGCAGCAATGAGGGGTGCCCTTCCCGCACCGCAGTGCTGCTGTCAGTTCTACTGAAACGGAGGGTTTAAATGAGAACTGGGGTTCCTTAGCACAACACCCACGTCCGGGCTGTGACGAAATCACTCCTCATACCAAGCAGGAGAATGGCACCGTGAAGCGCCAGCGAAGCCAGAGCCGGCGGGGAACACGCACAATGCACAGCACGGAGCGGCCTGCGGTCAGTGGCCAGGTAATCCTCTAGCCTGGAAGTGGCTGTTTTCATTTTGTTGGTTTTTTTTCCAGA